CTTTATGATGATTTGGAGAGAGAACAATAATAATATTGTGGATAAAAATTTTAGACTGTTTTGATTTTGTGACCTAAGTAAACTATGAGATGAACTGCGAGATACCTCCAATACTTTAAAAATAATAAGGCACAAACAATGCCTCTATTGTGAATATAACAGACTCACAAAAATAGGTAATGTGTTTTTATTTGACATGTTGTTATTTGCGAGTTATGTTTGGTAGTGTCAGATGTTGAAGTCACAACTGTTGATCGCTTTGGTCTCCTTCTTCAAGAGGTATATTTGTTGCTATTTATACATCTTATTAGCACATTTTGAAGATCTAATGTCAAGGATTGTCATCCTTTATTGTTTAAAATTAAGTAGTTGTTATATTTATATGGTTTATTCTTTGGCGTATATAATGCTTATCCTGATGACTTTGTGTTCCTAAGAGGATTTATGAGCTAGAATTTCCACGTTTTGTTGAGAGACATTAAAAGATATATGTTTTTGGAGCTTTTACTATAGTTTATGTTCATGATGTCTTTTAATGCTTGAGTGATTTTTGCGTATTATAAATGGGTTGTACTAAGCAGGGAATAACAATTACTAGCTTAATGCTCATGTCAACACTCACGGCGACCTTTATAGCATGTAGCATGCACAAAAATTCAAAATGTAAAAATGTTCAACAACATAAAAGTTACAAAAACATCATGATAATATACGGTTCAACAAAATGAAAATATATACAAAATAGAACTATAATGCCCTAAGCTCAAAAGATCTAAAGTATAATTACCTCCGAAGAATAAAGACCATGTACTCCTTTAAACAATAAATGCTCAATTATTATAACCCTCCCAATTTTAACCACATATTCTCAAGAGTTGAGAAAGTTCTCCAATGAACAAAGAAATCTTTGAATGCCTCTACCTAATGTGGCAATGAGCTAATCTTTTGAGGGATGGGATGGCAAGGTGTCATGAAAGTAGCCACCTAGATGCGAGCAATAATTGCTCGTGTTGAGCTCGAATCAATGTGGCTAACCAAGAGAGGTTGGTTAATGGCTCAGTCAAACCAAACTAGATTCGTTACTAGTGAACGTAGGCCCATCTTATATTTGAAAAGCCTACATTTCTCATTTAATTAAAAAAATATGATTACTATACCGACATTTAATGAAAAAGCTTTATTCTTTAACATGATTTTCCTATCATCTATTTGCTTTTAACCCCACTTATAAATAAGGAGTTAGAATGAAGTTTAGAAACACAAAAATATTATTTCAACACCCTTAATCTTCTCTCTCTCTCTCTCTCTCTCTACACCCTCCCCACCCCAACCATCTCCCTCTATTTGTGTGTGTTATGATATTCATGGCCACTTTTGTGAACATGGCCCAAGTTCCATTGGGATGTGAAATTCATAAGCTTCATCATTAATCTTCTCACAATTCTAAGAAGCCTTGATTTCTTCACGGTTACCTTCTTTGCACTTTCTCTTGAAAATCACTGATGGCTAACTTTAATAATATGCAAGATTTCTCATCAAATTAGATATATTTCGGATGTGAATTAACTTCAAGTTTGTATTCATTAAATGCATGATAGGTCATTAGGCGACGGTTAAAAGAGTAGGTCCTCAATGCTAGCAATGCTTATAATTTATGTTCATTAAATGCTTCATAAAATGGTAGTGCTGATGTACTTGTGGAATAAATAGTTGGTGGAAGCTAATTTTGGATAATATTAAGATATACTTTTTCTTATATGCGTCAGTTCACCACATTTTAGAGAATTGCATCAATAAATACACGAGGGTGCACTCTATTTCTTTTGCATTAACCCAACTGGACCCCCGCAGCAGGCTCCCAATTATTTCTGCCTTAGTTGGCCCGGTTCAGATGGTCAGGGACAATTGAATTCTGAGCTATTTGGTTGGTCGGTTTTGAAAATTATACCGGTTTAGCCGGTTCAACTTGTCTGATTGTGAACCAGCACTTCAGTTTTTTATGACATACATCTTTCCTTTTGGAACTTCAAATGCAAATCTGATTCATTCATTTGAAAAGCTCAATGTAGCAGCAAATAAAGTTAAGCAGTTCCTCTCTTACTCAAATTGTTGATGGTTCCAACATTATGCTCTTATGGGATTCTTGAATTCATGGCATGTGTCTTTGTGATATTTACGACTCCCAACTGATGCGGGTGCGTCTCCTGCACGGGATGCAGGACGCGACATCCTCAGCTGTCGAACCGAGCGCTATTTCACGTGAACCGGTTCATCCTGAGGGAGAAGAGGACCGCACAATCACTCATACAGCATTCTCTTCATATCTCATTGCTTCTTTTGTTCCTTTGTTACTCTCTAAATTAGGAAAAAATATTATATACGGACTTCGGATGCATCCGGAGTCTAATGGTGGGGGCGTCACGTGTCAAGTAGGTCTTATCGTTTTTTTAAAATTGGTCAATGTCAGTGTATTATGGTAGGGCTCACTTGACACATGGCGCCCCACCATTTGCGTCCGGAGTCCGGATGTAATATTTTCTCCTAAAATAAGAGTGTGACTCAATCATATGATTTTTTTTTCTCTCCTCCATTTGTTATTTTAAAATGTTGGTTTCCATGGACCACTTCCTGACTCTTCTTCAGTGCAACTAGCTCAACTTTTTTGGGTTATGGCTGGGAATACTTCTAGCCATATGTGAGACATGAAGATCTACCATACTCCTACTTCTGTATTGTTTGCTCTTTTGTTTCATGATCTTTTATGTCTTTTTTTTTATCTATTGAAACTTTTTAAATTTTGCAATCTTCTATGATTAATACATGCATAAAAATATCATTTGTACCTTCATACCAAAATGAAACATAAATTATGACTTTCTATAAATTTTGCCTCTTCCATTGCATGTAAAGTTCACATTATGTCCCGGACCGAATTTCTCTTTTTCCAATATATATATATATATACTGTTTCTCTCGTTTTACTTGAGTTGAGTCTGTATGTGGATGGGTCACCCTTATGAGTAAGTTATGTGCATTTCTTTTTGGATTTTTATAAAAGCATACGGTTCAGTCAAAACATTGATGTGAACAATTAATGTGATATCTGATCACATGGTCGCATTTATAACAAATTTATTATTCCATCTCCCTTCAACCGGCAAAAAGATTAAATTCATTCCTCCTATCACCAACTCTCATTAAAGCACCCACAAATCCAGATTTTTCTTACAAGCAGACCCCCCTAAACATTGGTATTTATAACATGAATCACCCATGTGATTTTTTTCAACTATCAAAATGGCCTGCTGATTCTTTAAAATGGTGCTGAAATAGTTTTCGCGGGTACTAGTAAAGCTCAATTTTAAAATAGTTGTGGTCATCTTTTGACACTTCTATAAACTTTAGAGCTAAAATAGACTCGTGTAAATAGTCAGGGGCTATTTTAACACTTTACTCTTTTATAAATTGTATGAGGATGAAACATTAATGTTAAGTATTTTGCTCTCAAGGCAAAAACGAAGAGAACATGGGATAGGTCAAGTCACCAATCAGATTGGAATTAAGTGAAATAATTAGCTAGAGCTAAATGTAAGATTAAGTAGCTCAAATCTATTTGAAAAAAGCAAATGTTAATTGATAATATACGACAGAAATGTGTGCTCCCATATCATAATAAATACATTGTCATGTGCTGAAATTTATGACACAAAACCAAATATATATATATATATTTTATTTTTATTTTTTTTCAATTTACTGTGACTTAGTATTTTAATGTTTTTCTATGCAGTAAATATCTTCCCGAATTTATATGTTATATATTAAATAATTCCATGTATCAAAATTGTTTTTTTCTATATGTTAGATAATCGAAAGACTTACTTGCATACCAATTAAATCGAATATGGGTATTTATATACTAACATCTACTCATGCATAAAAATGTATATATATTTTACAATTTAAAAGTTAAAATAGTGATATTTTTTTATGATATAAAAAATTGGAATGCGTTGAATCACAAAATGTTCTTCGAGTCATGCTCCAAGGATAGACCATTGGTCTGATGAGAGGAATAAGAGAGAGTGGGAGAAAGAAAGGATAAGTCACAAATAGCGTTAATTTTTTTAGAATAAATCCAGTAATCATTTTTGTAGAAATGACTCTTCTATTTATAAGTCATAGAGGATGTCTAATAAATTATATGATTGTCCCTCATTGAATTAGAAAGTTACATTTCTTTGTGAGTCATTACACGTTTACATATTTGTAATCGAATCGGGCATATTTTGACCTTATAATTGTTGCTTGTGTTGTTTACTATTTGTAATTGATATTGGCACTGTTTTGTATTTGTAACTGCTTATCTTGGACATGTGATATTCATTCACTCAGCTAGAAAGTCATTCGATCGACTAACCTATCTTCATTTGTCTTTTTTCAAAGGAGTTCATTGTGAAGACTCGTTGTCTTTTGAAATGATTATTTCATTAGGCAGATGACAAATTATTGTAATCTAAGGACCACTTATCTTTGGTCGATGAATCTATATAGAATGAGTCCATATCAAGCAATTGTTAATCTTGTGAATGTCTTTGTGTCTGTTGAGTTATTATTGATATAGGTGTGTGACAGTTGACACTCTTTGATTTAGTCGGACTAACGTTCGGTCGGCCCAGAATTCGACTGGCTGAAATTATAATAGCTTGCTCGATCTTTTGTTGCTCTCTTCTTGTGACATGTTGGATCTCTTAGAGATTCATGCAGTCACATTACTATTGTACATAATGGTATAATTGTAAAAAAGGAAAAGTACATTTTAGATATGTAAATACATAGTAATTGGGCGGCATCTATATAAATGACCTCTAGTAATTACATTTAAATAAATAATCTATACTTGATATAATTATTAAAACACAATCCACACAAAAAAAAGGAAAAAGAAGAAAACCAAAATACTCCCAAACACAATTCCCTCGTCTTTAAAATGCCCCCTACTCCTCTCCCCTCTTCCACCACCTTTCTCCTTCACACATGCACGCTATCTTATCCTCCCTCTTCTCCATCAACTCCATTAATAATTCCATAACAAAATTACCATCTAATTTCCCCACCAAAATGATGAGCTTGCTCTTCACTCTCCTCCTCCTCCTCCTCCTCGCCCTCCTTCTCCTCCTCCTCCGACTTGGCCGCCGCAAACCCATCCTCCTCCTCGACTTCGCCTGCCACAAAGCCAAGGAATCCTGCAGCCAAACTCACCAATCCTTCGTCGAACGCAGCATAGTTCTCGGCACCTTCACCAAAGACAATGTCGCCTTCCAAAAACGTATCTTGGAGAGGTCCGGCGTCGGCCACTCCACTTACTTCCCAGAGGCGGTGGCTAAGATCCCACCGGAGCTATTTATATCGGAGGCGAGAAAGGAGGCGGAGATGATGATATTTGGAGCTGTGGATAGGCTTCTGGACAAGACTGGAGTCGATGTGGAGAAGGAGATTGGTGTTCTGGTTGTTAACTGTAGTTTGTTTGGTCCCACGCCTTCTCTATCCGCCATGATTGTGAATAAGTATAGAATGAGGGAAGATGTGGCCAGCTTTAATCTTAGCGGGATGGGTTGCAGTGCTGGTGTTATTTCCATTGATCTCGCACGCCACATTCTCAAGGTCCGCCCTTTTTTGCGTTTATGAACTTTTTAAACGTTCTATAATACTAAAAATTATTTTTTTAAAAGAAAAGAAACTTTTTTTAGTGAAATTATTGATTGGTTCATGCAAAAGTATGAGAAGTCTCCAGTCTTTAACCCTACAGTGGTTTCATTGGATAAAGTTCCAACCTTTAATAATAAAAAACGTTTTTTTTTATATATTTAAACATTTTTTTTGTATAACTTATTTCACAAAATATGCACTAAAAATTATATAATATGTAAGAGAAAAAGCTGCACTTATATAAATAATTATTTTTTGTTCATGATATGAATACTTTTTAATAACTATAAAAAAAAGTACATAATATACGCCACATTCTCAATATGAGCTTTTAAAACATTTAATAATAAAAAATGTTTTTTTTAATTAAATAAATTATATGTAGCTAACTTATGTGCACATGTCACTAAAAAGATATAATTATAATATGTAAGAAAAATAGCTGCACTGATATTAAAAATGTTTTTTTTATTCATACTATGTTCCAAAACTATGCTAATTCTTAGGCAATCAATGAGGTTGCTCTGCTTTCGCCTTTCACAGAGACCCGCTCTCTCTCTCTCTCTCTCTGTTTCATATTTGCAGGTTAGACCCAACAGCTACGCTCTGATCGTGAGCACAGAAAACCTAACCCTCCATGGCTACTACGGCAACAACCGCCCCATGCTGGTCACCAACTGCCTCTTTCGCATGGGCGCCGCCGCCGTCCTCCTCTCCAACCTCCCCTCCGATCTCCACCGCGCCAAATACTCCCTCTCCGATCTCATCCGCACCCACAGAGGCTCCGACGACTCCTCCTACCTCTGCGTCTCCCAACAAGAAGACGATCAAGGTCAAATCGGCGTTTCCCTCTCCAAAGACCTAATGTCCGTCGCCGCCGGAGCTCTCAAATCCAACCTCACCGCCCTCGGCCCCCGCGTTCTCCCCTTCTCCGAACAATTCCGCTTCCTATTCTCCCTCATCTCATCTAAATACTTCGGCGGGCGCTGGATTTCGAAACCCTACGTGCCGGATTTCAAGAAGGCGTTCGAGCACTTCTGCATTCACGCGGGAGGAAGGGCGATACTGGACGAACTGGAAAAAAGATTGGATCTTGGGAGCTGGGAGATGGAGCCGTCGAGAATGACGCTGTACAGATTCGGGAACACGTCCAGCAGCTCTCTGTGGTATGAATTAGGGTATTCGGAGGCGAAGAACAGGGTGAAGAAAGGGGATAGGGTTTGGCAAATTGGATTTGGGTCGGGGTTTAAGTGTAACAGTGTGGTTTGGAGGGCGCTGAGGGATATAAATCCCAAGGGGAGTTATCCCTGGCTGGAGGAGATTCATAGGTTCCCTGTTGATGTGCCTCAGGTGGAAGCCATTAATTGTTCTTTGAGCTTTTAAAATGGGGGTTTTTTTTAATAAGCTTTGATTAATCTCCATGTATCTTATTGTTTGTGGTTGGAATGATCATGCTTTGGTAGTTAGATTAATGAGTTTTTATTAAGGAAGAATTGCGTATATGCCACTTAACTCATGTGTATTTACATATTTAACACCAAAAGTTAAATTTTTACATTTCTGACGCCTTTAACTATGGATGAAAAGATTTATTTTTTTTTTTTATGTTGTATGAAAGATTTTGGGTGGTATATACACGTTAAGAAAAATTTAATTACGCCTCAGATTGTAAGTACACATGACTACAGGAGCTGGATGATATGCATGTAAATCGTTCTTTTATTATCAAGTAAAGGTCCTCTCTCTCTCTCTCTCTCTCTCTCTCTCTCTCTCTCTCTATTTAGAAGGCAGAACTGAAAATAGCAGCCAACAATTAAAAATGCTTCAACATATAAAGCATGTATTTGCACCCATACGTAGTGGAGTACTGTGAAACCTTTTAAATATATTGAAGCTGAATTTATAAACATCGATGTGTCTTTCGGTGTAACGATGAATTTTTTTCAGCAACTCTAAAGTTAATCATGCTCATCATCAAGCATTCCTGGGATGAGTGACCTCCTGGCGATTTCCATCAACAGGGTAATACCATGAGACTATTAGGCCAAAACAGGCAATATCTTATTGGGTGAGAGTTCGAGTTGTCACAAGTTATACCAATCACAACTAATCTCCATGTTCCCTAAGATTACTTTAATCATTAAATGTCATAAGTTTAGCATAAGTCTTGTTCTCGACATCAAATATCAAACATTTATGGCGAGGGCTAGTGAATCCTAAGTTGATGGTGACAGTCTTGTGTACATGTTGATGTTGATGATAAATATATATCATATTAGTGATGGTGTATGTTGATGTTCTTAATCATGATATGCAATAAAGTTTCTAGGTATTAATATTGATGTTGATGACATGTACATCAAACTTATTATTATTGAAGATGTACATCAACATTGTTAGCCATAGCAAGTTAAAGTTAATAAGCATTGATATTGATGGTGTGCATTAAGTATTATTCACTATAGTAAAATTGTGCACTATGAATGAATTCAATATTATGTAGCAGTGGTTGGACAATAGTAATCAAAATTAACACAAATATCAAATAGAACTCTAGAATTCTTCAAATAATTTCCCCATCTTTAATTATTAATAATTTATATGACGATTTATAGAACTCTTAACTTTCTATATGTTTAATGTTATCATATTAAATTGAAAGAAATGTCTTGTAAGGCTTTGAGAACTATTTTCAAAGTTGTTAGGATCAAGATCATGTCTCACATTTGGGCAAGATCTTGTTTAGGAGAAAGTATTATGATTGTCGTCCAGATGTGCGGATGACGGCCTGCATCACAACACCGTGTCATGTGCACAGAAGCGTGGTGCAATCCACACCATCGCCACATGTCTGATTTAACCGGACATAATACTTATTCTTGTTCAGAAAGTACAAATCCCTCATTTAGTTGTTTATATCTACCAATATATATATATAGATA